TATATTTTTTTGTTCATCAAAAATTCCATATGGAACTAAATCAAGCTAATAATAATGATTTGACCAATACTTTGTCGATTGTGTTTTTGTTTTAAATCATGCATAATTCGTATCGATTGACATTTACCAAAGCGGTTACAAAATGCTGTTAATTCAAATTTAATTTAATTTCACCAAATTGAATCTAATTTCAATAAATTCCATCGTCTCGCAATATACGGATCAATATGGTTATTTATGTTTGAGCAATGTTTTAGTGTCACAATGTATTTTATGGATGTTAAAACATTTGTTAAATTGCATCTAAAATCCCAAATGAGTATGAATGTTATTTCAAGCTTGAAATGAATGTTATTGTATTTTTAGCATTTTAATTGATTTTTGCTTGAAATTGGTGTTTAATGGAAACAAATCGGTCGCAGGGGTTAGTAGATTTAATGACACAGTAATTTGAAATTTTGGCATTTTTAACTCTGTTCTTTTTCCCCACAAAAAAAGAGACAATGTTTATTTTCACTTGCATCAAATCCGCAAAATCTTCTGTTAAGTTGAATGTAATTAGAGGATGCAAATTGCATAGTAAATAGACGACAAAAAAAGTACAAAATTCTGCGAGAAATGCAAACGTCTTGGCATACTGTGTCAATATTAAATTAATGTGTAATACAAATACATTTTCAATGTTATTTCATCTTATCATTATCGCATGTTTGTCTCGTTTTAAGTACTTAGCTTAATTGTGTTAATTAGTGCGTATGAATTAAATTACGCTACGTCACATACTGCGCTTTTCTCATTAGCCAAGTGATAAGATACAATAACTCGTGTTCTGAATATATAAAAGATAAACATTAAGTTTGATTCAATTAAAATGAGTTGCTGTCATTTCGGCAAGACTGTTATGAAACCATTTTGATGGTCCATGATTCTATCATTTTTCTAAAATTCTATTTTAGGACGAATGAATATGGGAAACTTGAAATGTGCCGAAAAAGCACATGAGGATAGATAAATTTAAAATATGAAGACTTACTGGTGAGGTGTATTGAAATCGTTGAGTTCATTTTAACTTAAAACAAAAATCATTATTTGAATTGATTTAAATATAGCCTATTCTGTCATAATTTTTTTCTATCATGGATGCGATACACTGAAATATTGGAAAAACAAATATCTATACTATCCGAAAAAAATGTATATTTCATGCAATCAATCAATTTAATCGAATATTTATAACATTCGAATCAATTCAATGGATTCGTAAAATAAATAAAATAGATTGCAAATACGGAATGTAAAGTGGTATCGATGGAATGTGGATTCCAAAAAAAAATAATACAGTAAATATGGCATGAAATATCAGAGTACTCGAAGCCAATTAATTTCAGTAAATTTGAATGAAAAAAAATCAGTCAAAATTGAACTCAGATGGCACTGAGGAAAAAGAAATAAACGGCGGGGAAAACAGTCACTCGAATTCTTGCACCATTCCCGACAGTCGTTTCAAACGATTCGTTTGACATTTTTTTCCCCAAAGGCAATCAAATGGTTACATTTAAAAATGTACACATGTAAACGTTTTTTATACAGTTTCAGTCGTGGGAATGGATGAGTGCATTGTGTATTTTTTTTTTGATTAACTGGCGATTTCAACCGGCTGGACTCATCGTTGAAAATTCATTTATGAGCATATTATGCTGTAACGACAAAAATTGATTTTTCATAATAAACGAAACCATATTTTTAAAAAAAGAAACTCCAACGTTTGTTCGTATACATTTTGACAACAAATAAACATTGGCATTGATATGGCGCACGCACATTTCCATTTCAATATGAAAAAAAATGACATTTTTAATTGACAAATTTAATTTTTATCAATTAAAATGCGTTCCCATCCCAATGATAGGCAAACATGTGTACACATGTTAACATATGCTCGGTCTCTCGGTTCAGTGACGTTTTATCGTTGTTTATTAACCAGTTACAATGGTCTCGGGCAAATACAGATCAATCGTTGAATATTAGCCCACTGATTTTAACTAAATCAAACAAATGAAAAAAGAAGATAAAAAAAGGAAATAACAATGAATATTTGAATTTCCATCTCTGTGATTTGCCTTTGTCTCGAGTTCAAACAACCGCAAAACCAAACGATAGAAAGTTATTGCAGAAAGACACCCCTTTTTTATTGTGATTTGATTTTCTGTAGCTGCAAAGAAAACAAACAATTCAACCAACCAATGTTGTCTGCGTTATTTACTATTGCCACTTGATGTATTCGAGTTCTATTTGTTAATTATGTTGAAATCTAATGAAAACGTAGTTGATATACGAAGGGTGACCCATCATCATCTTGAGCTGTGGTTGCGGTATAGTTACTCAATTATTTTTGATTTCTCGTCATCTTTCCATTCAATATCAAACAACAAAATGCGTCCGAATATTTAACGAATTAAAAATGAAGAATTGTTTCAGCCAACGTTGGTGGCAAATAGCGCGTCCACGTTCATTCTTATCAATGTAAATGGTTTCCGACCAAAATGATGTGCAAACGATTTATATTGGGTATACCGTTGAGGGGTTGAAATCGCTTATGATTGCCGATCATTACAGATTAACTTCATTACAAACGTTGGTACATTATTTTCGGTGTTGCGCAGTAGAGTGCAATTGTTTGCTTTGCCGAGTTTTTTTTTTCGTTCTGTCTTTTTCTCTCTCGGTGTGTGTATTTATTCAACATCGTTATGGTATTTCAATTGCCTTTTCCCCGGTGCGATATGGATTGCGATGTGGTACATCAAGAGATAGCAGAAAAAACACACTCGCCGACTTCTCGGTATATAAATCATGAGCAATGGCTAAAAAGTGATCCAGTTACAATTTTGACTTTCGGTGAATAGCACACAAATTGTTTTTAGTGTGAATTCACATTATATGCACGTGGTGCATATTGCTTGGTTGTTCTTTAATCGTGTCGTTTCGTTGGATTCGCAGCCAAAGCGGTTCCATTCAATTTTTCAGTTGTCATTGATATTGTTTTGACTGTCGCGTGAGAAATTTAAAGCAATTGATGTGGAAATGTTTTCGAATTGGTTGACATCAACAACAACGGCATCGTCAGCATTACAAACGAATGCACCAGATGTGATACTTGAAATTGGTCCATTGCCATTTTCACGATTTGCTGCACATAGTACAATATTGGCAACGCACAGTGGTTATTTTCGTTCAGTTTTACGGCCCGATGAACGCATACCAGAATGTCCCATTTATCTACCGAATGTAACATCTGAACATTTTACACCGCTTTTAACATACATGTATACTGGATTTTTGGATTTAAATGTTGAAAATATTTTCGGTGTATTATTAGCCACTCATGTGTTGCATATGCCAAGAGCATTGGAAATATGTCGCAGTTTTCTTGCACGCATTCAATCAGAAGGCTATTCAAATGGTGGATTTTTTGAAAAGTTACCATCACCATTAACATCAAGTGATTCGATTAAAGTTGTTCGACCCATTGCAAGCAAAGCAACGAGCGGTGGCCTAGCATTCATTGCATCGCCCGTATCGAAACCGTTGCTTGGCAGTCATGATACACCATTTAAAAGTATTAATTTGACAACGACAACCAATGATAATTTAAGTGAATCTTGTGGAAAAGAAAGCGAAGAGATAAATAACCAAGAAGAAAATGTGTCGAATCGTGATTCGCCCGAAGCGAGTACATCGCAAAGTGTTGATGTCGATCGATTATCACCTGAATCAGATTTAAAAAGTGAAATCAAAGCAACGGCTCGCAAACGATCTCATAGTCGAACGAAAACGTTGCGTAGCCCGAGTATTGTGGATGAATGTTTGGAAAGAGAAAAAGAGACTTTGAATGAAGCGGGTGAATCGGAAAAATTTATCATTGATGTGGCCAGTTGTGATGGTCCGGTTCGATTTCAGCGTGTTTTAAACGGAGCTTATGGACGTTCGACTCAGAAAAGTTCATCAACCCATGGATCAAAGCAAATGCAACACATCGAAAACCAACGGGCCAATTCATTTCACATGCAAATGGCACGAAATATATCGGAACGTCAAGCAATCGAATCAGATCATACCGATTCGGAAAATAGCGAGGAAATCATTGTTCACGATCGAACCGATAAACTGAATGAATCGAAAGGTGAACGCACAAAATGCAAAAATAATTGTATCGCCGCATCAACAACAAAATCAGAAGAACTGTATAATTGCATTTATTGTAAGCATTCGTTCAAAAGTCAATATTGTTATCAAAAGCATGCGAAGCGACACATAAATCCGTTATCGATTGAGAGTGCAATCGAATGTGGTCATGGCAGTAAAAATGAAAATTTGTCAATAAAAAGTGCTCCAACCACAATTCAAGCAACATCAACAACGGCAACAGTTGCAACAACACCGCCACCAGCACAGAATATGAGCGTAAAACGTGAAGTTAAACCACTCGATATGAATGTGCAATATTATCCGTGTAAAACATGCGGCAGCAAATTTCCAAGCTATTACTTTGTTCACAAGCATCGTAAATTGTGTCATGCCAATGAGGAAAATTAAATTTAACTAAATTTTAAACAATTTGTAAACACAAACAGCACAAATAAATATACATATCACAAATGAAATTCGAACGAAATAAAATTAGAGTTTTCTTTTTGTAATTATTGTAAAATGCGATGCAGAGTAGAGAAATATGGAAAATTTTATGTTATTTTGTTTACATTGGTGTCATTGTCACTTGGCCAGAGAACTTGGAGAAAAAATCATTTACTTTGTAATTAGCTGATATGAACACAGTAGCCATTTAAAAAAAAAGATTGCCAAAGCAATTAGAAGTAAAACGGTGATTTTGTTTCTTTTCAATTTTGGTTCAGGTTTTTGTTTTGAGTTTGTTTATCTTGCTGATGGAATTTTTAGAATGTTACCAAGTTAATTTTAGAAAAAAAATCGCTTTTTACACTTACCTTTGCTATCAGTGGTTGCATCGTCCTCCGTTGATTCGGATGTCTCTTTTCGTCGCTTCTTTGCCTCACTGTAAAAATCGAGTAATTTTTTCATTGTATCAAGTATTTAAAAAAAATCAAGTCAATTTTTTATTTTTTAAACCTAAAAAATCAACATAAATTGAAAATTGAATAAATATAATAATATGTCAGGCGAGAAATTCCATCGAAATCAATCTACTTCGCAAGAATTTCCTCGTTTTAAATGTTCATGAATGAAATTTCATTTTTTTTTTGTTTTTCCTAAATATTTCCCATTCTCTTGCTCTCAAAAGAAGGACTAAAATTGTGTATATTTGAATTAAATTCGATTAGGAAATGCTTCTATCAGCGCAATGCCATAGCGAAAAGATTCGAACATAAACACAAAAAATCATTTTGAAAAAAGAATCAATGTTCAACACATAAAACGAAAAATATGTGTATTTCGCTCTGTTTCTCTGCACATAAGCTGTTTAAATATCCCCATTTTTTCCTCACTCCAATCAGTTGCTTCAATTTGTAAACGAAAATCTTTCATATTTGCTCAGCGAAGTAGCTTTTTGAATTATTGGTTTTTATGTAAATAGAAAAATATCAATTTGAAAGATGAATCAATGAGCGTGCATCAGAGTTTTCCATACATGAAAATGATATTTGTTTTCGAATCGTATCGCATTGAACGAGAGTGGAAGAGAGCGATAGTATTTTTCATATACGTTAAAATGATTTCTTCATTTAAATTCGATGGAGTTTTTTTTTCACATGGAATGCAGTTCGATCTTTTCCCCGGTTGTTTTTTTTCTTCATTCGATTAATCAATTTTATTTATCTCCTTACCTTTCTTCTAATTTTTCTTCTTCTTCGTTTGCATTGGATGCAACAGTATTCACAGCAGATGATACACTCGTATCCACAGCCTTTTTGTTGTTGTCTAATTTAGCGGTATCATTTTCGGTTGGTGCCGACGATGCATTTGTAGTGGACGCCGTTACCGTTGTAGCCGATGCTTGATTTACGCTATTCGAATGCGTAGCATTTTCCTTAGACGGTGCAACACTCAATGCTGTGGTTTTATTCGCTAGCGATGTAACGATTTCCGTTTTCACACCATTTACCGTATTCAGAATGCTTGTACAGTTGGTATTTGATGTGGAAGATGTCGTTGTAGTGGAAACAGTTGTCTGGGATTGATTTCCACCATTGTTTGCGCTTGCGACTGTGCCATCTGCTGGCAATGCGTTTGGTGAGCTAGAATTGGTTGTGTTCGCTGCTGTGCCATCAGTTTTCTCTTTAAAGGATTCGTCATTTTTATCCTTGTCTACATTCGTGCTCTTAACACTGCTATCAGAGTCACCGGCTTTAGTTGATACCGACACCGTTTCACTTTCATTCATATTATTTGTAGTTGTTGATGCTAAAGGTGTGAAAAGAAAATAGATTTTTGAATTTGGTCGGTTTTTTCTCGCAATGAAAATATTGGCTGAAAATGAATCATAAAATATTTTACGCACCAGTTGTGGATGAATCGGTGGAATTGTTAGTTGAGTCTATGGTGGTCGTCGATGACGATGTGCTTTCAGCTTGTGAGCAACGCACCTGAGACGAAAATTGAGATGGCAACGAATTTGGAGGTGTTGTCGAGCCTGTTGTTGCCTGTGGTGGCGTTATGTTTGCTGAATTCGAAGCACGGGCACCAGTCTTTTGTTGTTGTTCACGTTGCAATCTATAAAGAGTTTGTAAAAAACCGAACACAACAATATTAATAATCGAAACGGTTTATTTTCATTTGAAAGGGGACAACAATTATTTTCTTTTTATTTTACCTCGTTGTTACGCCCGTTGTCATTGCATCTACAATGCACTGAGATTGAGTATGATTGGATTTGTTTGGATTACGGGAGCTTCGCGTTCGTTGACGAGACTTTCGCAACAATTGTTTATAGTTTTCTGTTTTTTTGCTGAGGTAGTAGTATCGTACACAATCTTGTGCACTCTTCCGATCCAGACTAGCAGCAATGGCGCCAAAGTTTTTCGGATGTTGCAGAAATTTCTCTTTGAAAATTTCCTTTTCGCCGGTTGTCCACACGTTCGAATTCTTCCGGTCCTGCTATTTGTAAAGGAACGCACAAACAAACAAATAAAAATAAAAAAAGAAGAAAAAAACGAGACATTGCACATGAGAAGTCAAGTTTTAACGTTGTAAGTGCATTTAAAAGAAAGAGAGTGTGTGTCAACAAACCTTAAAGTCATTTTCCATATCGGTGAGAGCTCCGTTCTCATTATGAAATACATATCGTTTTTGTTTAGCATCCATCATTAATGGAGGAATAACTGCGTACGATCGCATTTTCTTGTCTTCATTCGCCTGAAATATGACCAAAAAAACAACAACAATTATATTTAGATTGAATTGCATTGAATTCGATTTGGCCAATGGATGTGGATATTAACATTAGGTACCTGTTCTTGTAGACCGTCAATAATTTCCTCGACATCAGCTTCAGACTTGATGCGTGAACCGACCCGATTAAATCGTTCCTTATCCTCACGTTGTTTTCGTAATTCAGTGAAAACTTTTTCAAAAAATTCCCTATTTTTCGCTTCTTTCGCCTTTCGCTTAGCGCTCGATTCGATTTTTTCGACGCGACGCAACCATTCTTGTGACAATAGCGAATATTTTTCGGCCAATGCCTGGTTTCTAGCTGCTCGTTCAGACTTAAGTTTCTTCAAATGCGATAAAAGCCTAGATTTAAACGACTGATGCCGTTGAATAATTTCTTTACAAATGTCTACGTCCGATGGTTGATTGTACAAAGGCAATTCGACTGGTGGACCTAAAGGTGCTAATGCCTCATGCGCTGAATTCGCTTTCTTTCGATTTTCTGCATAAATTTTCTGCGCTAAACTCCGATGTTTCGGTTGTACTTCTTGTTTTTCTTCGGCTTTGGCCGGCTTTGAGGCAACTTCTTCGAGTGATGCCTGCTTCGATTTTAGCATTGCTATTGTCTTTTCAGCCTTATTTATTTCCATATCAACTTTTGTTATTTTCTGTAATAAATCATCCTTGGTGGCCCGTATCTCTTCCGATGGATCATTTGGTGGTGTTGGCGATATTGCTTCCACTTGCGGATGATAGGCACCAGTCGAGTGTGGTTCACGTACATCGACTTTCAGCAACGGAGGCGGAGATTGTGAATGATTTTCGGTAAGCCGAATTTTCTTAAATGGAGGCGGTCCACTTTGATCTGGTGCAGGGGCTTGTTGTTGTTGTCGATTCGACATATATTCATTTGGAATTCGTCGATCTGTTGAATGGTTCATAATTATTTTTTAATTCAATGCAATTAGATGATGAACAAGGTCTATCGATATAAGATTATTGACATATCATAATATAAGTAAAAAAATATTCACCTTCAGGCAACAGCGAAATGCGGGGTCTATTCGATGCATTGTTAGCAATTGTTTCAATCGTACTGGTTGGTGGTAATCCATGAGATATTGATATATTTGCTGGAACTGAAATCGGAGCCGATCGATACTCAACTTGTTGTGGCACTTGTGGTACGCGTACATATGGGGCTTCCCGTAGTAATGGCTGCAACAATTCCAACACACATTTACATATACATTGACATAGACTGTCTGTGTGAAATGCAATTTATCATTTAATTCATCTTACCTGCATAGTTCCATATGGATTTTGTTGAACATATCTAATCGGCGCTTCTCGAGCTGGAACTCTATAAGATTGAGGTGATGCAGCTGGGCTTGGCTGTTGTCCTTTGCTATATGGTTGTGGTGTATCGACGGGCCTGCAAATACAAAACGAAACGAAGATATTAATTAACATGGAAACCAAATTGAAATTCATTAAAATACTAATTAAGATATACAGAAGCCAATGTACTGTGGTCAAAAGCACTTTTCAATAATAGTCATAATAATAATAAGTTATCTACATCGAATGAACGTAGTACACGTTATTCAATATCTAAATAAAATTTCGGTTAAAAAAAAGGTTTAATCCGTTACAATTGATTGCTTTTTATCGAAATTCAACCAACATGGCAAGAAAGGTACCAACAGAACACAAAATTTACATTTCGTAAACCGCTTTTTTCTCCGAAAATGCCATTCACCCAAGCCTACAGTAGTGAACACATGACACACCATAGCATAACAAGCGATAAACTCTTTGCGAAATTTCTGTGATTTTATCGAATATATCTAAAAAAAATCACCTGACCAAACCATATATTTTCAATAGATCGCATAAATTTAAATATTTTAATCTGAATTTTATGCTCAATATGCCTACGTGACTCCGACAAAAATATATATATTATAGATTAACCCGAGAAATGACATAGGCTTTCTATATTTAACAACACAAAATATATATGAATCACACTTTCATACACTTACTTTTTTATTGATAAATTTAAAACTTCGGAACCATTACTTGGCCCGTCCGAATATTTATTTTCATATTGACCATTTAGCAGCTTCATTTTACTATTTACAATCAATTTCCAACTATCTATGTATCTATCAATCACAATTCGAGTTTAAACACTAAATTTTAACAAATAACGTTTCTATTTCTAACTGAAAATCACAAACGCACTCTTTAACACATTGTTCAAAAATTATTAATATTTGTATTTTTTATTATTTATTTGAAAAATCTTCTATCCAGAGAGCACTAAAACACAAATAGGTTCATTCGAAAAGTGTAAAAATATAACTATCGCTTCAAAATATTTGCTGAGTATTTACTTGGGCGATTAATGAACGAAAAAAGAGAGAACAAAATGTAGTACGCAGAGCGAAAGAGACGGAAAAGAAACCAAAATCGAAGTTTTTTTTATGTTGAAAGAGACAGAGAAGAAACTAAATTGTTGTTTTAGTCGTTTTGGACAAAACGGTGTACCTGATACGTATACATTTTGTTTTCTCTTGTTGCATATGTATGTGTGGTCATAAAAAAAGGTTCTTTCCCATGTTTGCCTGCTTTCATAATGTACATACGATCTCATACACATACACATAAAATTACACACAACTATCTGTCTCCTTTGCACTCTCTCTCTCTCGTCGGCCACTTAACACAAATATTCTAAAGTGTTCATCGATCATTCACAGAAAGCGAAAAGCAAAAAAAAGGTCGAAATAATAATAGTAATAAACAGGCACAGTATAACGAAACCGATCACTGCACCAAAGACAAAGGAATGAGAAATACACGTACACAAGATGCCTTAACGCACACAACAAAATGCATTTAAATGCATATATATTTGCTTAGAAATTCCAGAAACTATTACTTCTCTGAATAAGAAGATTGCTTTCGTCTGTTTCCTACTTATTGTCTGCCAGGATCATTCGACACGCACACACACACACACTCAATCACATGAGAACAACAAAAAGAAAGATGCATATTGTTGTACGCATACAAATGCGTACATACAAAACCAGCTGCGCATGTTTGCAACGTTTAGCATAGTTTTTGGGTATTTTTCCTTTAGGTAATGACTATCATAAAAATTTCTTTTGCTCTCATTCTCTCCCTCTCTTCATCTCTCATTCTTTCGTTCGTATGTTCATCGAATGGACGCTTCTTTGGTGCGTAAATATGTCCAAAATACAAAAAAAAACGAAATGCATTGACAATAACATTGCAGCTGAATACTCGATCCCTTTCTCACCGCTACACAGTTACATTCACATCAAAATGCAATGTTGCAATATTAAATGCTAAAAGCGACAGCCAAACACAAAATTCATGACAACGGTATATTTTTTTTCTCTGCTCGCTCTCTTTCACATTAATACCTTTTTCTATAGTACCAAAAACAGTAACATTAAAATCCATTATATTTGCGAATGAAACACATTTCAAACACAATTTTATTTGCAATGTCAGGGTATAAAAAAATATATATACACAAAAACGTCGCTCACAACAACGACGATCCGAAGAAGAAAAGAGATAGGCAATTGCAGCATTCAGTGTGAGCATAAATAAACTGTTAAACGGAGTGAACGAGATAGACGGAAACCGAGATATGAACAAAGAGAAATGGAAAAAAACACAAACTGGTACGCAAAGCGATAACCAGAATGGAATATTGCAGCAGCAACAACACCAACAAAAAGAAACTGAATATCTCACAACTGAGAAGTGTGATATAAAAACAAGGTCATTTTGAAAAATTTCGATGCTGCTTAACGTATGTTGCGATGATAATGCATTAAAAATACGCACGACATACACCTACCCACGATCACTTTGTGCGTATTTATCGCTGATCAAGCCCATTTGAAATGAAACCATTTTTAAACTCACATTCGTTTTGCGGTGAAAAAAATATTGAGTAAAAACACAAAGTGCATCGATGACAACTCAGACAACGGAAAAAAATTGCAAGTTGTTCAATATAAATTTTTTTCATCGTTTCCACGGTTCATGAGCCTGTCTATCGTTTCCGATAACAAAGTTGATAGTCCACAACAAAATATAAATGGGAATTTTTTTCGACGTATTTGTTTGCAATAAAAATGATACCACACAATCAACACATTTTTATATATTCATTGTAGAAGTTGACGTATTTTTAGTTGCACGAAACAAATTTCAATTGATCTTAGTTGCATTTGTTTATAATTCGGTTTACGACAAGTTTGTCTGAACAATCTATTTTCGTCTTTTGTATGTCTCACCGAAGGTTTGCAGCGCGATTAGATAAGAATCGACGATTACAAACGGTAAATGAAATTATATGGAGACATTTATACCGTTTTCTCTTGATCATACGCCATTTCAACGAAATGTTATCACGTTGCTGCGATTAAAATCATTTAGCCTTGATTTATTGCTGATGCATAATTGACGTAGACTACAAATTACGACATTTAGGAATGATCAAGTGATGGCATTAAATCCAAATTAATATCGGTATTTTTAATTTCGGATTTTGGACGCTTCTTACGTTTTTACCAAAGCATTTTTGTGTTTAGAATTTTAAAAGAATATTTACAAATATATCAAGGTTTGATGGTAAACAAAAATACACTATTAAAAATCGAGGCCATATTAGAAGCGAAATAATCTCGAATGGATTCGCAGTTGCTATCGCCGACGATACCGTTTTGGGCAAAACCGTCGCAAATAAATATTTTGAACTTGCCAATTTTTTTAGAGAAGTTCATTGAATGTGCACACCAACGTTCACAAATTGATCGATTCAATCGCATTATACGGATGGTATTATACGGAATTACTGGTTCTTAAATTGAAATATACAACAAACATATAAAATGATGTTAATGACGAAAGTCAATTTCACTGGAGCCGAATGCAATAGATAGCAAGATGTGATCCAATTTGCCTAATGAATCGTTATGATAAATAATGTTCTGTTGATGATTATTTCAACTTCCTACGATACATGCAAAGGTATGCGATTAAAAAGACATTTTCTTATATACATTGGTATAAGAAACCGCGAACAGTCCGAAGCAATACAAAACGATTGTTTAAATGGCATTAAATGATATTCCGTTATTTCGATCCAACTGGTTTTAATTGCAACGGTGATGGATTTTTGTTTCACATCATCTGAAACGCATACACAAACTAGGCGCTGGCTGTAAGGAATAATTTAATTTTTTTAGGTCAACTGGTTTTCCGGCGCACTCGCAGCACTTATCATTTACGGCCTGTTTATAAATATTATGCGTACATATATATTGCATTGAGAATGATTTTGATTGAAATAAATGTAAGAGGAAAAATGCACCTGTTTCCCTAATGTGTATAAAATGACGCGAGTAATAACAAAAATTTCCAAAATATACACGGTTGCATGCGTATGAAGGAAATTAATGTTCACCGATGCCGGCAATTTAATGGCAGACGACTGGTCGAAGAACGAACGAAAAAAAAAATGAAAAAAAATTGTCATGCATGCGTGCGATGCTCGAGTTCGAGTAAATAGGCAACAACGATATATCGTAGAATCGCTGTAATTTGTCGATTTTGTTTGTGTCTCAAAATATTCTACATTCACAACCGGAATTATCGATTTTCGGAAAATAAACGGAATTATATGTAAGAATTGGCACCATATATACATACATATAATCTATCCGCATTTAGCGCGTCCTGACTAGTGCCGGATATATGCTTACAAGCCATCACATGTTAACAATATACACAGGTTCTATATGTACGTAGAAACGGACGAAATGACATGATTTATAGTGGAAACGAGCAGTAAAAAAAGAGAACCATTTGCCTTTGCCATCGGTAATAACAACAGCAGCAACGGCAGCGGCAACAGCAACAACAAAAATAACAATGGGAATACATGAAGTCTAGTCATTATTAAGAATGGTTGTGTTGTTTTGCTGTGTGCTTTTTTTTTCTTTGCTGTATTTTGCAACAGATCACGAGACGGGCGGCTGCCGATGATGGAATGCGCGATGCTTATATACAAATGTAATCCACATTCTCGAATACATAATGTGAACCGTGGCAAAAACTTCGAGTTATTTCATGTTTACATCGTCGCTTCTATTATTATTTTCCGAATGTATGTATGTGTATGTATATGTACGTGTTTATTCTCTCTTTTTTCCCTATATTTTCGGTTCTAGAAATTGTTTGCCATTTTATCGAGCACAATGTGAACGCGGATAACTTTCATTCATTTCGCGTACACAATGCAAATATTCTCACATATACGAGCACGTAACATAAGCCGGATTTACTTGGTTGATTCCAATACGACTAAAATGAAAAGAA